CTAGTCACAAACTTAAAGAAACTTCCTATGTTAAATAATTGCCAGTGTAGCATTCATTTGTTCACTATTTTTTTATTTTTATTTTTGGCCATACATTTCCAGTTATAGAACCACTTGATATACCCAAATCATTCAGGAACAGACATGAATTAAATTTTGAAAATGTGGTTTAAAAAAAGGTTATCATTGATATTGCAATAGGGATTGCATTGAATCTATAAACCACTTTTGGTAGTATGAACATTTTAACAATATTGATTCTTCTAATCCATGAACATAGGATATATTTTAACTTTTTTGTGTCCTCTTCATTTTCTTTCATCAATGTTTTATAATTTTCAATGTAGAAATCTTTCACCTCTTTTGTTAAATTTATTTCTAGACAATTTTTTTTGTAACTATTGTAAATGGAATTGCTTTCTTGATCTCTATTTCAGAGAATTCACAATTGGCATACAGCAATACTACTGATGTTGATTTTGTATCCTGCAACCTTGTTGATTTTATTTATTTGTTCTAGTAATTTTTTTTGTGAAGTTTTTTGGGGTTTCTATATGCAAGATCACTTCAACTACAAACAGTGACAATTTGACTTCTTCTTTTCCAATTTGTATACCCTATATTTCTTTCTCTTGCCTGAGTTCTCTGACTAGGACTTCCAGAACTATCTTGAACAAAAATGGCAAAATGAAAGTGGGCATTCTTGTCTTGTTCCACACCTTAGCAAAACACTCTCAGATTTTCCTCATTTGTCATAATGCTGTTGTTGGATTAACACAAATGACTTTTATTATGTTGAATCATGTTCCTTCTATACTTAAATTGTTTAGTGTGAAGTGATGTTGAGTTTTATCAGATGCTCTTTTTTTTTGTATCTATTGAGATGACCATATGGTTTTTGCCCTTCATAAGTATGATGTATTACACTTATTGAATTACTGAATTACTTGCATTATTGGGATGAATTCCACTTGACCATGATGAGCAATCTTTTTAATGTGCAGTGGATTCAGTTTCTGAGTATTTTGTTGAGAATTTTTATGTCTTTGTTAATCAAGGATATTGACTTGGGCTGGGGTTTCAGCTCAATGGGAGAGCACTTGCCTAGCATGTGTGAGGCACTGGGTTCGATTCTTAGCACCACATATAAATAATAAATAAACGAAATAAAGTATTGTGTCCATCTACAATTTAATTTTTTTTTTAGAAAGGATATTGGCTTGTGGCTTTCCATTCCTTTTGTGTATGTTCTTATCTTGTTTTGGTGTCAGGATAAAGCTGTCCCATAAAGTGCATTTGGAAGAACTCTTTCCTTTTCTATTTTTAAAAATGATTTAAGAAGAATAAGTATTAGTTTTTGTTTGGATGTTTCATAGAATTCAGCAGTAAAGCCACCTAATACTAGGCTTTTCTTTGATAGGAGACTTTTTTTTAATTACTGATACAATCTTGTTACTTGTTATTGGACTGCTCAGCTTTTCTATTTTTTGGTAAGGTGTATGTGTCTAGGAATTTGTCTATCTCTTGTAGATTATCAAATTTCTTGCAATGTATTTGCCACAATAATCTGTAAGAATCATCTGTATTTCTGTGATGTTAGTTGTGATGCCTCCCTTTTCACTTATTTTCTTAGTCTAGGTAATAGTTTGCCAATTTTATTTATCTTTAAGAAACAGTTCACTTTTGTTAATCTTTCGTAGTTTAGATTCCATTTCATTTATTTCTGTTCTGATTTTTCTTGTTTATTTCCTCCCACTAATTTGGGATTTGGTTTGTTCTTGTTTTTCTACTTTCTTGAGGTGCAATGATAGGTTGTTTATTTGAGATTTTTCTACTCTGATGTGGGCACCAACTGCTATTAGTTTCCCTTTTCCTACTGCTTTTGCATATCACACAGGTTTTGGTAGGCGTCTCTATTTTCATTTGTTTCAAGAAATTTTAAATTTTCTTTCTTGATCCACGTATTGTTTAAAACAAGGAACTAAATTTCTGTGTATTTGTATATTTTCCAATTTTTTGTTATTGATTTGTAGATATATTGCCTTATGGGCAGAAGTTTTAATTTTTAAAAATTTATGTGGTCTATCATATGATCTATTCTGGAGAATATTCCATGTGCTATGAGAAAAATGTTATTTGGTAACTGTTAGTGGAATGTTCTATGCATGTCTGTTAGGCCTATTTGGTCTAAGATGCAATTTAACTCTGATACTTCTTGTTGATTTTCTGTCTGGGTGGTCTGTCCAGTGCTGAAAGTAGCGTTTTAAAGTACCAACTATGATTGTATTGAAGTCTATTAATTTTACTTTTGCTATTTGGATGTGCTGATATAGAGTGAATATATATTTAGAATTGTTATTTGCTACTGGTGTAATTGATTCCTTTATCATTTTATAATGACCTGCCTTATCTCTTTTTACTGCTTTTGATTTAAAATCTATTTCATATGATGTAAATATAGCTATGCCTGATTTTTTTTTTTGGATTTCATTTGCATGGAATATCTTATTTTACCCCTTCACTTTCAGTCTAAGAATGTCCTTAGAGGTGAACCATTTCTTATATGCAACACATATTTGGGGATTTTTTTTTCTTTTATCCATTGTTATGGTTTAGATACTAGGTGTTTCACAAAAGCTCCTGTGTAAGACAATGCAAGAAAGCTTAGAGATGAAATGATTTGGTTATAAGAGTCTTAACCTAATCACTACATTAATCTCCCGATAGGGATTAACTGGTTGGTAACTATAGGTAGGGTGTTCCTGGAGGAAGTGGGTCATTGGGAGCATGACTTTGGGGTATATATTTTGTCCCTAAAGAGTAGAGCTCTCCTCTATATGTGTAATATGAATTTTAATACATTCTGCTGTCATATATAACAAATTAAAAGAAAAAAAGGAAAAGAAAAAAAAAGAATATACTAATAGATATATTCATTAGAAAATATCTAAACATCTACAATGTAGATATTTTGATATCCTCAATTGTGAATCATGCAATTTTTAAAAATATCATTAAAATGACTAAATAAAAAATAAAAGATAAAATGTGACAACTGAAAAAAAACAAAGAAGAGTAGAGCTCTCTCTTTCTCTCTGCTTCCTGGAGTCATTTCCTCTGCCACATCCTTCGCCATGATGTTCGGCCTCACCTCAGGTTCTGAGGAATGGAGTTGGCTAACTATGGACAGCAACATCTAAAACCACAAGCCCCCAAATAAACTTTTCTTCCTCTAAAATTGTTATTGTCAGGTCCTTGGGTCACAGCAGTGAAAAAGCTGACTAAAACATCCATAAAGTCACTCTGTGTCTTTTAATTAGAGAATTTCATCCATTTACATCCAAGGAAATTAGTAATGGGTAATGTCTTACAATGGCCATTACGGAACATGTTTTTGAGTTTTGTTGTTGTTTCTTCCTTCCTCCCCCTCTTACGGTCTTCCTCTGTAGTAAGTGAATTACTGAAGTAGTGTGTTTTGATTTTGCTTATTATTTGTGGCTTCTCAAGTACAGATCATTGCTTTGTGGTTACCATGAGGCTTCCAAAATCATTTTATAATAACAAGCTGTTTTGTGATGATAGCAACTCAACACGAGCATAAAGATCAGATCAGAAACAAAGAACGAGAAAATTCATTAATAAGAACCCTGCCCTTGTACTCCTTTCCTCCCCTCATTTTGAATTTTCGATATCTCTTTTAACACCTTTCTGTGTCATCTCTTAACATTTTAATGGAGTTGTTACTTCTGATTGTTTTGTTCTTTTAGTCTCCACACAAAAGATAGGAGACACCATACTTGGAATATTACAGCATTCTGAATTTGTTTATATAATCATTCTACCAGTGAGTTTTATACCTTCCCATGTTTTCTTTTCGCCCATTAATGTCTCTCTCTTTCAGTTTGAAGAGCTTCCTTTAGCATTTCTTGTAGAACAGGTCTGGTGGAGATATATTCTCTCAGTTTTTGTTTGTCTGGAAAATGTCTTTATCACTCCTTCATTTCTAAAGTATAGCTTTGCCGAGTACAGTATTCTCATTTGACAGCTTTTCCCCTACAGTACTGTGAAAATTTCATGCCACTCTCCCCTGGCCTTTGAGGATTTTGCTGAGAAGTCTTCTGTCAGGCAAATGGAGACACCCCTGGAAGCTATTTCTTTGCTCTCACAGCCTTGAGAAACTTCTCTTTATCTTTCACCTTTGTAACGCAAATATTTGCTCTAATACCGTCTCAAAGTTCCCATAAGCTATCTTAATTCCTCTTCATTCTTCTTCTCCAACTGTGCATTTTCAAATATCCTGTCTTCAATATCAGTAATTCTTTCTTCTGTTTGATCTTTTATGCTATTCATGCCTTGTATAGCATGTTTAATATCACTGAGCATATTTTTCAGCTCAAGAATTTGATTTTAAAATATTGTTCCTTTGTTAAGTTTCCCTGTTAGAGTATTGAAACGTTACTCTGTGTTTTCTACAAGCTCATTGAGTTTCCTTAAAACAGCTGTTTAAGGAAAACTCTGAGAGTTTTCTCATACTGATTACTACCTGGTCAGTTTCTGGTACCTTATTTTGAGTATTAGGTAAGATCATGGTTTCCTGAAAGGTCTTGGTGCTTGTTGACATGTGATGTCATCTGGGCATTGAAGGATTAAGTATTTATTCTAGTCTTCTTCATCTGCCTTTTTGGTGCCTGTGTTTCCAGAAATTCTAAGCAGACTGCTTATTTTCTTTCTCTGAGCCTATAGTCACTTCCACTAATTTAGGACTGGATGGTGCCCAGTTCCACATTTGCCAAGAGTCTGCTCTGTGGGTGTGTTGTCATTGTTTCAGTAAGAGAGGGCAATCCAGGGTCTGGTTTGTCCCAAATATTCTGTTGGTATATTGTTGGGAAAGAACCAGAAGAGTGCCTAGAAAGAACAGTCTTTCCCCACAAGCCTCATCCACAGTTACCAGCCTGTGGTCAGGCACTGCAGGAATCTTCCCGGATGTGGGCAGGATCACCATGGATGGATCAGTCCCAGACTCCTATGTTACACTTGTGGTCACCAGGTTGTGCTGCCAAGTTAACACCCTGAAACCACAGTCTGCTAAGACCAGTACAGTACTGGGGTAGAACCAAATCCCACACTGCTCTATGCTGAGGTGGTCTTGTGGCCCAAGACTACAGCAACCAGTCACAGGCAATGCTAGTTGGAATAGAATTTCAGTAGAGATGATATGTCTTCCCTTGGTACTGGAGGCTCAGTCTACAGGTGGATTGGGTGCCATTAGGATTTTCCCATTAGGTTTTACAGACCAGCACTACAATTCCAGAGCAAAGCATTGTGCTTACTACCCTGTCTTTTCCCCAACAAATGAGGTCCATGCTATGCTATGCACCATGCTATGCTGCTCAAGGTTGGGGTGGTATTGGTGAATGCAGTCATCCCCTTGGCTTGACACTAAGTTGAGTCTCAGATTCTCACAACCACGAGGACCTGCACAGTCTCAGAGGTGCACTGCGGTCTATGCCACAGTTGACAGGGATGCAGAATAAAACATGTCTGTCCCACAGGAGCACAGACCTCTGCCTGGTGCTCAAGCAAGTCTAGAGACTGGAAAGAACTGGCCTGGAGATTGCTGTGCCTACCCTATGTTGGGAGACTGGGTGGTGACAGTCTCTTGGCTACCAAGGCTAATGTTAAACTGGGTTACATCTGAGTCTCATAGCCACAAGGGCCTGCACTGTCCCAGGACAGGTGGGTATGGCCCCAGCTCTCTCCAATATTGGTAATAGTGCAGGCAGAAACTTTAGTCCCATCAGCAAACAAGACTCTATCTGATGCTGGAACCAGTTTAGAACTTTCATTTGTGAGCTCTGACCTTCATATGGGGCCTTTAGTTTCTATCAAGTGCTGGGTTTCCCTGCAGTGGTCCTGGCACTGTAATCTGAGACAAAGACCTGTGCTAGCTATCATGCCCTGCTCCCCAGTGGGTGGAATCCTGCCATTGGAGGTTGGAGAAGGAGTAGTATTGGATGCCAGGTCCGAGGCTAAGTCTATAGGGATTGGCATGGCAGTAAGGGTCATGGGTCTGTGCCCAGCACTGAGTTTCACCATGGCTGGCCTGATACGGGGTTTCAAGTCTGACACCTGGACCTAAGCCTGTCCCCCCTTCCTGAGTGTCCATGCTGGGCTGCTTGGGGTTGGGGAGGGGTGACTCAGGCAACTCTTTCCTTCCTGCCTTCTTCAATACATCTTTTTGTCTTTTCATTTTGTTATATTAAAAGCAGGCACTATGATTTCTTACCTGGTTTTCTTAGCTCTTGTGAAGGTGATTCTTTGTGTGAATAGCTTCTATTTGTTGTGTCAATGTGAAAATAATTACCAGAGGATTTTTTCCTGCTATTGGCTCTGTTCTTGAAACCAGCTTTAAAATTAGCAATACATTGAGGGCACTGTTCCATGTCAATGGATAGGAACCCACTTCATTCCTTGTAATAACTGCACAATTTTCTCTAACAAGGACAAACCACATTAATTTAATCAAATTCCTTCTGATGAATAATGAGGTTGCTCTATCTTTTATATTATAAAAAGTACTCTGGTGAATATTACATTTTATACATCTTTGATAACTTTTCCAATTTTTTTTCACAGGTTAAAGTTCCTGAAACAAAATTGTGGAATCAAACTCTATTCAAAATTTTTTTTTTTTATGTGGTAAGACTTTTATTAAGGGGAGTACACAGGACTTTTAATTTTATTTAAAAACTTTTTTTAACATTCATGTTAAAGGTATAGAATTTGAAAGCCTTTTTATTATCACAGGAGTTACTTCCCAAAAATGTTAATCACAGCTGGATTGAAAGAGTATTTGGGAAATGTGGCAATGTGGTTTATATAAGTATACCACATTATAAATCTGCTGGAGATCCAAAGGGATTTGCCTTTGTGGAATTTGAAACAAAAGAGCAAGCAGCAAAAGCTATTGAGGTAGGTAGGTCCAAACCCTAAGGAGAAACAGAAAAAGCAAATTTAATGTTGTTGCAAAAAATAAATTACATTTACAATTATTTTATTAATTTTTAAATTTCAGTTTCTTAACAACCCCCCCAGAAGAAGCACCAAGAAAACCGGGCATATTTCCCAAGACAGTGAAAAATAAGCCTATTCCAGGTTTAAGAGTAGCTGGTGAGTAATTTAAAGTTCATCAAAAGTATAATGTTACATGTCACATTACTTTTATACTTTACTTTTATTTACAGAAGAAAAGAAAAAGAAAAAGAAGAAGAAGGGCCGAATTAAGAAGGAAGACAATGTGCAAGCAAAAGAGTTAAATATGGACACAAACAATGAGAGTATCTCTAAAATAAAAAGGTCAAGGACAACATCCGAGGGCTCTGAAACAGAAACACCTGAACCTCAAAAGCAGCCCACAAAGAAAAAAAAGAAAAGGGAAAGAGAAGTATCCAGCTTACCTGAAGGCAAAACAGGGAAGAGGAAGAGAAGCAGTTCTGGAGATGCAGAGTGCTTAGCTCCCAAATCTAAACTGAAGAAAATGGCTCAAAAAGACATTATAAAAGAAGCTTCTGAAGTTTCAAAAGAAAACAGAGGTATTAAGTTTACAATCAGATATGCTGAAATCTGTTTGCGTTTAGATTCAATGGAAACCTGTTTCAAATACATTACAGTTACAAATCCGTTTACATTTCTCTAGACTTAGAATTCTCTGCAGAAGAGGAAAAGGATGGTGGAGACATAAAAGATGGTTCTCTAAAAACAAAGAGAAAGCATAAGAAAAAACATAAAGAGAGACATAAAATGGGTGAAGAAGTTATACCACTGAGAGTACTGTCCAAGTAAGTAATTTCCTAGTGTGAACAGACCAACACTCCATCTATTCAAAATTTATGATACGTATTTCTAAACTGATCTCATCTGAAAGATTGAACACCAATAGTGTATACTCATATCATTGAAATAAATGAACGTTACAAAAAATTTCCAATTCATTCAGTGGTCAAACATTCCTTTTTAATTTGAACTTTTTTTTGAGATTAAGCATCTTTTCATATAACTTAATAGTTTATGCTTCTTTTGTGAATAGCTTACTTTGGGGCTTTACATATTTTTCTATTAGATTGGTAATCTTTGCCTTTTTAATTTATAAAAACATTTAACTATTAAGTGTATCAACTAGTTACCTGCAATATATATATCTCAAAATACTCTGGTCTTCTTTTCCCTTTGTCTTTTTGCTTTATTTATGGTGTTTTTGAGTAATTGTTTAGGCAGCCCAGTTCACATTCATGTCTATGATTCTGTGCTTGAAAAGGTCTCCTCATCACAAAATTGGATATACATTCTCCAAATGTTCTGGACTTTTCATAGTTGCTTTTCCCTTGAAATGTTTAATGTATATGCAACTTTAATTTATGCATGGTGTGAAGTAGAGGGTCAATATAATGCTAAATTTGGGAGAACTAAATGAACTCAATTTTGTAAACTTAAAAATATTTCTTGTAACTATGGAAAGATCAGGGTATTCATGCTTGAAATGTTATACATTTACAAAAAAAGTTAGGGAGAATAAGATAACTGGCTGCAGGTACAGTTTTCTCCCCTAAAGCAGAGTTCTTAACCTTGCATGTTCTATTGGGACTCATTGGCTTTTTAAAATGCTGATCCAGACCCCAGAGAGTCTGATTTCATTTGTCAGGGCCTAGCTGTCTGGAATTTCAAAAGCTCCCCAGGTGATTACATAGTACCCAGGTAAGGCTGAGAACCACTCCCTTAGAGCTTCCTAATAAAATCTCATATTATTTGCTAGCATTTAACCATAATTCAACTAATGTTTTTTCTAAATTTCAGATCTAAAACTCTCCCCTCCCTGGTCCATCATCAGTTGTTCTGAGGAAACCACTAGGGCATTGGTATTGGATTGATAAAATCTGTACAACCTTCTAGGTACATTTATGAATCTACACAATGAATTTAAGAGAATTGAAGAATTGATGTCTCATTAAAAATTTCAAAGAAATTTACCAGTAGTGAATTTTTTATTTTACCTTAGAAGTATCACCTTTTATTGTGATTTCCTTACAGAGTCAAAATGGGTAACTATTTTAAGACTTTGTAAAACAAAATTTTAAACACAGATGCAGTCATTTTTCATTCTCCTTCTTCATATCCCACTTGTGAGCCAATATATCCCACATTAGAGACACTGTGGGCATACAGCTTCCTCACTTTCATGCATGTGAATTACTCAAAGCTGAGAGTTACACTAGAAATTGCTGAAGAGTTGCTGGACTAAATGTCCAACAGAATTTTTGCCAAATGGCATAAAATTAATGCATGCAACCCAAGGGGATCTCAGGTGAGACCCATTCCCTCGAGGCTCAACTGGACATTCTTGGCACTAGGTAGAAAATGTGATTGGAGAAATAGCTGTGAATACCATTCTTTCTGTGCCCTAGAAAAGTCACGCTTCTCAGGAATGCAATTAGGCGGATGTTTGGGAACATAAAAAGGCATTGAAAATAGACTGCAATGTGCTAAAATTTTCCTTTATTCACTTCAGAAAACAACATGTTTATTTATAGGCCACACTAGGTTATGGATTTTGGTAAGCTCAGTGTTCTCTAATTCTTGATTTGGTAACTTTATAATCAGTAACTTCCAGGTGAATGTTGAATACCCAATTAGTAAGTGTGAATTGCCCCAAGCTGTGTGGCATGCTGGAAAAAAATAGGAACAAGGCCCCATCCAATGAAGTTCCAGTTTAAAATCAATTAATTCTAGTAAAGATCAATCTGTTCAGATGGTGAGCCCAGCCACCAAATTCACTCCTCCGACCTTAGCCAAAGTCCTCTGACTTTGCTCTCAGTTGGCCTCCTCTTTGTCCCTCCCATCCAAGAACAGCATGGACAGCTGTGATTGAAAATAGGGCGCGTCTCTGGCTGCAGGACTCAGATGCCACACTCTAGAATCTTTCTCTCTCATGGTGACATTTGAGGTTGAGAGCCACACTTTGGCCTCATTCCCTGGGCAGCTGAGAGGTTATGTGGGGTCACAGGGCTTCTCGCTGCCCTTTCCACTTGGCCTCCTTTCCTTCTAGGGTAGAAGTGATTTATCTCCATTCTCCTTGGGGATTCCTCATAGTTTCCAAATATGAGTTTGGGGTTTTACCTTAGATTGATGCTCTATCGGAGCTATGACTTCCAGGAAGGAAAGGTATTTTATATTACCATCAGTCTCATGGAGAATTTTGCTATTATTGGGTATTTGAAAACTATTTGCTGGTGGGTCAGTTTTTTGAGAGTATTTATACCTATGTCTGTACACACACACACACACACACACACACACACACAGAGCAAGATATTTTCCTCCACTTGTTTTTACTTGAACCTCCTATTCATTCATTTATTTACTTGGCCAAGATAGGCTGAAGGCCATTCCAGGCATTATCTCTGTGTTAACAAGATGTATGGTAGGTTATGTGACTTAGGAATCTGGTAGGAGCATTTTGGAGAAGCTTCCTCTGAGATAATGAACTTTAAATAAAAATAAGCCAGTCATCAAGCAGTAATATATTTTAGGGACTCAAAAAAGGAAACAGGAAATTTATAATATTCAGGTTCTATTTCTAGCACAAGCTTTCTCAGTTATGCCATCATGAGTTAATGAATGTGGTTGATTTTTTCCTGAGAGTAAAGAAATTCTCTGGCTCAGGAATTAGAACCTGATTCCCATAGTGCTGCAAGAACAGTTCAAACTATACGAATCCCTTCAGGTAAATGCAAAGGCTATTCAAATGTTTTATCAATCCAGAAGATATGTGAATTATCAGTGATAAAATTATTTGTAGCTTTTCACTTAATTCTATACTACTCTCAGTAAATGTGGGGGATTAAAATATGGTTTTTTTGTATATACAGAATGAAATATTATTCATTCATGAAGAAAAATGAAATCTTGTCACTTGCAGCAAAATGGATTGGGCATTATGTTAAGTAAAATAAACCAGACACAGAAAGACAAGTACTACCTATTCTCTCTCATATGTGAAAGTTAAAAAAATTGAAAAGTTGACCTGAATACAGTATAATGGTTATTAAAAGTTTGTAAGGTACTGGGGAGGGAGGACTGGAAAAGGCAGGCTGGGTTTGATAAGTGCACTCTGTATTCAGGTATCAAAATATCACACGAAGCTCCATTAATATGCACAATTAGTGCGTTACTTAAACAGAAAAATTGAAATGTTTTCTCCAGAAATGTAAAAATCTTCAATTTATAGCCCAAAGCCCTGCCTTCTTCCTTTACTTCCTATGCTCATATAACCCAGACTTGATCAACCTCTGAGGCCTACATATTCTATTGCTATTAGAACTCTAGGCATTTATGTTTTCCTCAGAGAACGGAGACTCAAGAGAAGGACTCTTCTGGCTATTCTGATTGAAGACTTACATATAGATAAAACTATTTCTATATATCTAATGCTTGCTACACATGAAGCATTCCACATGGAGACTTGTTTAAAAATTCATAATTACATTATGATATCACTTGGACACTTATTAGAAGAAAAGAGAAACATGTAATGCTATCAAACAAACAAGTGTGACAGGAAGTGATGAAAGTCTCATTTTGACGACTCATGGTAGTGAGCCAACTCCAGATATTCTTGAAAGGACTTTTGAAGGAAATGCTTGAATAAATCTACACACATACTTCAAAAAATAGACTGAAGGGAAACTACCTAACTAAGGTAGAAATTGAAAATTATCAGGTAAAACAGGTTAAGCAAAGGTATTCACTAATACATGCCTAGTTTTAATCTTTATATTAAGTAAATGTCTTCTTTCCTTAATCATTATCTGAGAAAAACTATCCAATTGAGGTTCCATGTTTCACTTCCTACTGAAAATATGTGGTGTGTTGGATAAAAATTAATTTGCCAAAAATGGGCAAAGTAAATATTTCAAATTTTTAACCATGCATCATTTGGAGAATAAATTTATTTTAATATCTCAATTTTTAAACAGTGTATGTTCTTGACTTGAACTACTGGGCAAGGTTATAGCATCCTTACCTATGAAGTCTTGAATTCCAGATGGAATTTTCAGTAGTTTAGGTATGACTCTGCTAGAGACAGGTAAATAATTTAAAAAGTCTTCTTTTTAATTTTTTTTTTCTACTAACGATTACCAATACCCAAGCTCTTGACATTTAAAGAGAAATTATTCATCAGTGCTCAAGAGCTAGAATAAAGAAGTTTTACTAGTTTGGGTTCTATTGAAATTGTAAAACTCTTCCTCTGACTGGAATTTTTTTTTAAATGGAACTTCTATTTTTATTTTTTTTAAGATTTTTATTTATTTATTTATTTATGACAGCAGAATGCATTTCAATTCTTATTACACATAAAGAGCACAATTTTTTCATATCTCTGGTTGTATACATACACCAATTCGTGTCTTCATACCTGTACTTTGGATAATAATGATCATCACATTCTACCATCATTAATAGCTCCATGCCCCCTCCCTTCCCATCTGCCCTATCTAGAGTTCGTCTATTCCTCCCATGCTCCTCCCTCCCAACCCCACTATGAATCAGCCTCCTTATATCAGAGAAAACATTTAGCATTTTTTTGGGGGGGATTGGCTAACTTCACTTAGCATTATCTTCTCCAACTCCATCCATTTACCTGCAAATTTTATTTTCTTTTATTGCTGAGTAATATTCCATTGTGTATATATGCCACATATTTGTTTATCCATTCATCTATTGAAGGGCACTAGGTTGGTTCCACAGTTTACCTATTGTGAATTGACCTGCTATAAACATTGATGTGGCTGTTTCCATGTAGTATACTGTTTTTAAGTCCTTTGGACCCAGGAGAGGGATAGCTGGGTCAAACAGTTGTTCCATTCCCAATTTTCCAAGGAATCTCCATACTGCTTTCCATATTGGCTGCACCAATTTGCAGTCCTACCAGCAATGTATGAGTGTATCTTTTTCCCCATATCCTCACCTGGAATGGTTTTTACTGTTGTAATGTTTGTTCACTTGTTTGTTTAGACAAATTTATTTAGGAAAGCAGATGCACATTCAAGGAAGAATACAGGGGAGACCTCTCAAGGGAGAGATGTCTTTTGGGAGAAATCAAGGAATACACATTCAAGGGAGAACATGAATTATTTCCATAAGGAGAGACAGCCTGTTATATTATTTTTGAAGAATAGTTTTGCTGAGCCAATTATTATGAAAAAGTTTGCCGTGTCCTATTTATCTCTTAAAATCATTTTATTTCTTTTTTGAGAAAGGGAAGTTCTCAAAATTTTGGACACATGAATTCTGTGCTACCAGATGTCAGTAGTTATAAATGTTCTTTTATCCTTTTCTTCCAGAGAACTTTAAAAATACATTTTCATTACCATTCTTATCTCATTGTATCACAGTCTCTGGGGCATGTTTTCTTCCCTCCTGGGTAAGGCACTGATGAACTGGGTCTTGCTCATCTTTTTATCTAGAACAGTGAAATGCCCAAATTAATATTTGTTGAGTGAATGACATTAACTCAATAACTATAAACACATATGAAGTGTTTTCAATACTTTTGTTGAGTAAATAAAGGATAGATTGAGGAATATGTCTTAAGAATTTCTGTGAGTTTAAAGAGGGTGTGAAGTGGTCATAGATTGTAACTATGGAGTTCTTTTTTTTTTTTTTTTTTTTAAAGAATTTTTTAATGTTTATTTATTTATTTTAGTTTTCGGCGGACACAACATCTTTGGTTGTATGTGGTGCTGAGGATCGAACCCGGGCCGCACGCATGCCAGGCGAGCGCGCTACCGCTTGAGCCACATGAGGTGATGGTTTTTCTGTTAAGGGAGAATCAGGCAGTATGGGAGTGAAAACAAAGAGAATAACCTTGACCTTTTAAAATAATAGGTTTATTCTTCCTGGGTTAATACTTACAACTCTTAGGAAGTATCTTTGAGAATTTGGAGGTGCTCTCAGTGATCAAAAAGATTGGAAAAAGTATAGCTGCCTGCTATGGTTGGAATGTCTCCCCAAATTTCATGTGTTGAAAATTTAATTCCCAAACCCATATAAGAACTATAAGTGGAGGTGGGCCCTTTGGGAGATATTTAGGATCAGATGAGGTCATGAAGGTGGGACCTCCATGATAGCATTAATGCCTTTATAAGGAGAGGAATAGTGACCAAACTAGCTCACTTGCTCTGACTCAATGTGATGCCTTCTACTATATTATAATACAGCAATAAGGCTCTCACACCTGGTGCTGGTGCTATGCTCATGGAGTTCCTAGTTTCCAGAACTGTAAGAAATTCCTTTTCTTTATAAATTATCCGGTCTGTGGTACTCAGTTATAGTAACAGAAAACTAAGACACTGGCATTTATTGGGCTGGAGACAGAAATGCTAGATGTCCTAATGTATTAGAAAGTCTTATACACTATAGGGAATTTTCCAAACTTCACACAGCCATTGAATACTCTGATGGACATTCAGGCTGACAGAACCCTTGCTTTGTAATTATCTGACCTACACCTGCCTTCTTTAAACTTTAATAGGTGCCTGAATCACTCAGGAATCTTTATGTAATGCAGGTTCTAATTTAGTATGTCTGGAGTAGGGCCTGAGAGACAGTATTTCTAACAAGTTCCTGATGATGCAAGGACTCAAGTGCCTGGGTCTCACTCCACACATTAGGATTTCACTTATTGGCCAGGGCAACAGGACCTTTAATGGTTCCCAGGTGGTCTCAGTGTGTAGTCATAATTTACAATTCCTAAAACCTAGAGCCTAACTCTTTACATATAAAACCAAAGTACATTTTGCATGTTGTTATGCCCAAAGACTCTTTTAATGAGACGCCATGTTAGTTGAAGAAAGCATTTTGATTTGTTTAGAACTGCTCTAAGAGCTGTTCACCATTTTGGAAAATCCAGCCACTGGATTTTAACAATGACAATACCTTTAAAGGTATTTGGGAAACTAATTCAATTTATCTGTTATTGGTAACTTTTTAATTCACAGTGATTCACCTAGGTGAGTAGGTTTTTGACACCCTCAATATGTCTCTACTACTACAACATGACCAAATATTTATATATTGATAAGAATATTTTTATTTCCTGCATAATTTCTCATTTATAATGTAATTAACAATTACATTAATTTTATATATATATGGGTAAGAAGTAAATCATCTGTGAATATCATTTAAGGATGTCAGAGGGAAATTGAGTTAGATGAAGTTGAGAACTACTGAATCAGATGATGAAGGACAGGAGGTACACAGTCCTGGGTAGCAGACTTGATGGCAGGGTATTAAGGTTAATAGAGAACTGAGCAAAATTCTCTTTCCTGGAAGGTCAGTGGGTAGTTTAGGAAGTCTCATTGAAAATTACAACTGTAAATAATAAAAAAAATCAAAAAGGAAAAATTCATAATCTATTTAATCAAATAAACTATTTCATTTTTTCTATGTTTTTAGCCATATATAAAAATAATAAATACTATAACCACAGGGGAGACAAGATTTTATATTTTTTATTAATATTGTGGCAAACATTTCCATTTTAGTAACAATATCACGTTTTTGTAACAATTTATTAATCATTTCTGTAATTGTAAATAAAAACTGTTTCTGATTTTAGCTACCATGAATAATATTACAATACATACTTGTATGGTCATGACTTCTTTTTTTTTTTAGTGTAGAGGTTATTCCTTTAGAGAGAAATTTCCAGGAATGAGATTAAATGGTCAACACCTATAAATATTTTTATGGCTCTGAAATGTGTTACCAAATTGCTTGTTGAAAGGTATATATGAAATGCTAGCTGGCTTTTAAACGTCAGACTTATTTTGATATAAGACCAATATTGTGTTATATAAAACTAACCACTTATCAGATAGTGAGAAGCAAAATATATCCTTTTTTAACTTACCGAATCAGAGTATAGTCTAGGACTTGAGCCAAAGCCTGTCATGTTGTGAATGGGCCAGGCAGTCACAAACCTCTGCTCTGTTCATTTTGGTAATAATTGTAAAGTAAATGTCTTGTTTTGGAATTTACACTTTGGACAAGCTGTAGCCCAAGCCTTAGGTATGAAAATTTCAAATCTTTCAGCCATAGTGTATATCTAGAAGGGCTGAGGCTATAATTTTACTTGTGTATTCACATGTTGAACCTCATTTTATTTCATCATCTCCTGCATCTAAGGGCATTAAGAATTAGAATTACAACTGGTTCTAACTTCTTGAAAACAATGTAATTTTCCTCATAATAAAGCAATAGGAGGGCTGGGGTTGTGGCTCAGTGATAGAGCGCTCGCCTAGCATGCACGAGGCACTGGGTTTGATCCTCAGCATCACATAAATGTAAAAAAATAAAGATATCATGTCCACCTAAAACTTAAGAATAAATATTTTTTAAAAAGCATAGGAATCTGATATAGGTTATAGTTCTATATAGATTATAGTTCTACCTACAAGAAGTCTTATCTGCATAAAACCACAGAGTTGCATTATTCTGTTTTTCTTGGTTTAGAAGAACCAAGATGGATTTCGTGAAAGGCAAAGATGAATATGTGAATGCACCCACAGAAACTGGAGCCTCAGGTGACTTCAGAAAGGACAGACTCTTTCTATAACACAGATTTCAAATAGGTGAGATACTTATTTGTCTGGGATACAGTGTTTTAAAACTGTCCCAGGATGTCTTTTGGTCTAAGCAAAAGTGGCTAAATTCCTTTCTCCCTTCTTTCTCTAATATTCTTGATTTTTTTTGTGTGTGTAGATTTTGAAATAATGCTATTTACTGGTTATTCTAGAAATAAGACTCTTACCTGCATTCATTCTTGGAGTTGTTTTCTTGCACTCACATTTTATTTCCCTGTCTCAAATGCTGACAGACACTTCCTTGAAGACCAGACATCTATTTATTTAATTTAATGACTTCCTCTTGTTATCTACTGGCACATGTTTATGGATCACTGAAGACTACTTCATTGGTTAAACACCACTACTCACCAGCAGACAGAGATAGATACCTTAGATACAGAATTTGAAATGTAGAAAAGACAGCAAAAGAGTTGGTAAAAGGCAGAAGAATGGATGGGAAGTCCCATTTTTTCCTGCTGGCAGGCTGGTCTCAGGAGCAGGCATGGGGAAATGTGCTTTTAGCGTTATTAGTGAAATAAAAGAAGTCCAGGGGGGGTGTGGTTTAAGTACATGTTCTTGAGACACATAGACTTGGATTTGTCATTTTCTATCAATAATTGTGAGAACTTGAGGCAAGATGTTTAAGTTTTCAAATTTCAGATTTACTTTCCATAAACTGGGGTTAATGCTTACTTTTTTAGAGGATAGATTTTCCTTCTTAATTCTTCCTGGTGGTGAGTCCTGAATGCACTTTTCTTGAAAAGTGGCTGGTGTTTGTAAAAGCTTGATAAGAACAACCCATCACTTTTTATTTTACTTTGGATATTGTGGGAGAAATGTTAGACTTTGAACCTACCAAACAAACTCTAAACATATGAAATACTTAGCAAGGTAGAGAGATAAGGGCCCATAGGCAAAACCTAATTTTATTTGTCTGGGAGACCAGCAGAAAATTAGAAAATAAAATTGATTAAAGTATTCCATTTATAAAGCATTCAAAAACATAAAATAAAATAAATTTAACAAAAGATATGTAATGCTCTACACTCAACAGTTCAAAAACATTGAGAGAAATTAAAGAATACCTCAATAAATGAAGAAATATAATATGTCCATAGATAGGGAGAATCAATATGGCTAAGATGTCAGTTCTTCCCAAATTGGCCTATATATTCAATGACATCCCAATCAAAACTCATAAAAACTTTTTTTTGGTAGAAATTAACACATTAATTCTAAAGTTTATATGGAATTACAAATAACCAAGAAGAGCCAAAAATAATGAAAAAGAAACCAAAGCTGGAGGATGTACCCTAGCAGATTTTAAGGCTTCTACCAAGCAATGAGAGTCAAGATAATGTGGTATTGGTAAAAAGGGATATAGAGCAGTTAAATGGTAAAGTCTGGAAACAAAAAGAGGATTAAAGCAATTCAAGATTTTAGTAGATATCTCACCTAAGAGGATCCATGAATGATTGATTAACATGTGAAAAGATGATCAACAGCATAGTCATTAGATAAAGGTCTACGCAATTCAGGAGGAAAGAAAACTCCTGGTAAATGACTTGGGAACAATTGGATATCCACGTAGAGAAAAATTAACTTGAACTTTACATAATATATTATAATGCATATAATATATTATTAGTATAGTAATATAATTGTTACATATTTATTAATTATATTATAATGTATCATTACATTATAATATATGTTCAAATATATAATACATTATTTATATATTGTATAATACATAATTATTACATATTAATTATAATATAATATAATTATTAATATAATAATTAATATATTGATTAAGATGAATTACAAACCCAAACATAAATGCTAAAGTGCCTAGAAAAAAAATTAGGAGAGTATCATCGAGATCTTGGAGTAGGCAATGATTTGTTAGAACACACAAAAAATGCTAACCACAAAAGAAAAAAATAATGATAAATTGGACTTCATTAAAATTAAAATTTTTGCTCTTAGAAAGACACTTAAAGAAAATGAATAGATAAAAACAAACTGGGAAAAACTATTTATAATACATAGATTCAATGAAGGATTAAAATATAGAATTTATTCAAAGAGCTTCTATGAGCAATATGATGACAAAAAGTCAAACAATCCAATAAAAAAGGTGTAAAGGATTTTTAGTAGTTGTCTCACTAAAGAGGATGCACCAATGGTCAGTTAACATATAAAAGTTGATTAACACCACAGTCATCCTAAAAGGTCCGTTAAAGTTGCTATGTAATATTATGTCACTCATACAAAAATGGTTAAAATTAAGAATGTGGTTGAGGATTGGAACAACTGAAACTCACCTGTGTTGCTGGTGAGCATACAAAATAAAGCAGTCACTTTGGAAAAACGTTAGTCAGTTTCTTATGAAGTTAAACATATACCTACCCCATGCACCAGCTATTAGGTATTAACTAAAGAGAAATGAAAGCATTCGTTGAGCCAAACCTGGAAACAATCCAGAGGTCCATCAACATGATAACAGATAAACAAATTGTGTTATATTTATACAAAAGAATACTTCCCAGCAACAAGAAGTGGAGCATTGATAAAAACAACTCAGATGAATTTCAAGAACATCAGGCACAAAAGAACATACTGTATATTGTGTTTCTATAAAATTCAAGAACAGATAAAACAAATCTATGATGCGAAAAATAAGAACAATAGTTACCTAATGGCAAGATTTGCTGAAAGTGGCATAGGGAATTTTGGAGCATAATGTTCTGTATTTTGATCGAAGTGTTGGTTAAATCATCAAATTTTACACTTAAAATCTATTCACTTTAGGTAAATTTTACTTTAATAAAAAAATGAATCTCATCACAATTGGAAGTCAGGCTAGGAATGTCAAATAAAAATAATTTAATAATTTTGTTTTTCTTATTTTTGAAATTTTAAAAACATATCACTAATTCAAATATTTTCTCTCAAAGATAGCCTTTTTAATAAATGGTGCTGGGAAAAGTAGATGTATATATGGAGAAGAATAAATTTAGATCCTATTTTTCACCCTGCACAAAAGTCAAATCAAAATGAATCAAAGGCTTAGAAATTAAACCAGAAACCTTGAAATCACATCTTATTGTCTTCCTCAATAAGATCCCTAAAGCTCAAGAAATAAAACCAAGAATGAGTAAGTGGGATGGAATCAAATTAAAAATCTTGTGCACACACACAAAAAGGAGTCGATCGAGTGAAGAGAGAACCTATGAAATGAAAGAAAATCTTTGCCAGCCACTCCTCTGACAGGGAATTAATATCCAGAACACAAAAAATTCAATGCAAACAAAAACCCATTAATAAATGGGCAAAAGAATTAAACAGAAATTTCTCAGAAGAGGAAACATAAATGGCCAACAAATATATGAAAAAATGTTCACTATCTCCAGCAATTAGGAAAATGCAAATCAAAACTACATTAAGATTTCATCTTACAAAGAATGATGATTCCCAAGAACACGAATAATGATAAATGCTGGCAAGGATGTGGGGGAAAAGGTACACTCTTACATTGTTGGTGGGTATGCAAATTAGTACAACCACTCTGGAAAACTGTGTGGAGATTCCTCAGAAAACTACAAATGGAACCACCATATGACCCAGCTATTCCAATCCAAAAGATCTAAAATCAACATATTATAGTGATACAGCCACCTCAGTGTTTACAGCAGCACAATTCACAATAGCCAAATTATGGAATCAACCCAGATGCCTGTCAGTAAATGAATATATAAGAAAATTGTTATATGTACATAATTGAGTTCAACTCAATCATAAAGAAGAATGAAATAATGGCTTGTGGGGGAGGTAAATGAATTGAAATGGGAATATCATGTTAATTGAAATAATCCAGACTCAGAAAATCAAGGGTCAGATGTTTTCTCTCATATGTGGAAACTAGAGCAAAATAAGAAAAAGAGGGTGATTGGGGAGGGAAACAGATATCATAAAGATATAAAGTATGGAAAACCAATGGAGTAGAAGAAAGAGAACAAGAGTAAGGGAGGAAGGAAGGGAAAGAGGAAGAAATATGGAATGGATTTAACAAAATCATGTTATATTCATATATAAAGTTACCAAAGGGCATTTCCCCTTTATGTATATGTACAAGAAAGGGAATTGTGTGGAGTAGAAAAGAAAGAATAAGAAGAGGGAGGAGGGGAGGAAAAGAGGTGAATGGGGACTGAAATCAAATTCCTTGCATGTATGTTTTGTCTAAATGAACCCAAATACCACGTTTAATTATAATTCTCTAATAAATATTTTTTCTCTCCGGCTTTCCAATTTTCAGTGTCAAACCATGGTTATTTTCACCCCTATAAATACTGTCCTTGGAGTTAGAAGATGCGAGAAAAGATTTTGATTCAGTTTTATAAACCCAAGACCAAATGAAGAGCTGCAAGCAATGAATTTTCATTAGTTTCTAGCAAGTAGTATTTACATACACAGTAGCATCACCAGTACTGTTTTTAGAATTGCAAATGTCTTGTAGTTAATGTTACTATACTTCCTATAAATTCAGTAAAATTTAAAGGTCAGGGAAAGAATTTCTTGTGAATGATAAAAAAAAGTCACAGTTTTTTCTCTAAACTTTGTTATTTCTATAAGTTAAAACAGCTGGGAAAATGACAAAGGAAGCAGGTTGAGATAGCAAAAAATAAATACAACACAGCTTAAAATGACTTGTTTATTTTTCTTAGATTTAAATGTTGGTGCTCCTGCTAAAATTATAAATTTTTATATTATGGGTTGTTATACCCTTTCTTTTTATATACTCAGTTTTTGCACACTTGTTTTTAAACCCTTAGACTGAAGAACCTTTCTACATGATTAGGGATAGACCTAGGGTTCACTCTTCTCATTATACTTATGAGTTTTGATAAATGACATATGTCCACCATTACAGTATCATTCATGGCAACTTCACT